TACTTGTGGCACCTTAGACACTAAGAAATTTCTTAGAGAATAAGCTTTGGTGGACTACAGCCCACTTCTTCGGATGCATATATTTGTTAGTCTCTAAGGTGCCACAAGTACTCCTGTTCTTTTTGCTACTATAGAGGGGATTTTCAAAGGCGCTCAGCATCGGCATTCACTTGTCGGAGGTAAAACTCCCACTGACTTTGAACTAACTCTGCAGTCACTCAAATCAATGGGAGTTTTGCTACGGACTTCCTTGACGTCACCCACTCTGAAAAGGGCAGTCACAGCTATTCAAACATACCAGGCCTTGCAAGGCGCTTTCCTCTCAACCCTCACGATCACATTCTAATAGTCTCATTGTACTTCTGAAGAGCAAACTAGAAGGGACACAGGACTCGCCCCTCTCTTACCTTGACTAAAGCAGAATGCAGGTACATGTTGTGTGGCATGATGACCGCTCCCACGATCCCCACAGCTTGTTCTAGCTGGGGGGTACCGCACTTGTCACAGTAAGGCATAAACATCCCCTTCAGCAGCTTTCCCTGGTCCGGTTTTACTGTAACATACTGCACACAGACACAAGAGACCCACTAGTACCTCTGGATTGGCAGCGTTCACACAGTTGCTTAGATGGCCAACTTGGAAGGCCCCAAATTTGCCCCACCTAAAAATTGCAGTAATTTGGTAATAGCTCCCCCCTTTAAAAAACTCAGATATTGGTTACCCACTAGCACTGAAAGAGGAGTGTTGTACACCCCCTGGTAGCTTTTTGGAGGCAGATAAACAGCTAACAATTCTTGGGCAGGTCTAACCTTCTAGACCAGTGCCAACCAGCTTTGAGCCAGGAAGCAAATAGAACCCCAGGGCAGTTAAAGTGGGCCCCACCGCAAAAAAAAAAAATCTAGGAGAGCATTAAAGCATATGCTTTAGAACTAGTCTAAAATTTTCCAATGAAACTGCTTTCCATGGAAAATTTGGGTTTTTTGAACCAGAATCTTTTGGTTTTTGACTAAAAACTCAAAAAGCCGCATGGGAAAAACTTTTTTTTTTGGGGGGAGGGGGAGATCAGCTCTGATATGCTTAATTTTAAGCCCTGGCTTAAAGTGCTTTCCAGAATTGGGGTCACGGGCAAAGGAGACTTCACGAGGGCCTGGCAGAAGAAGACAAAAATCAGAGGAAGTAATTAGATTGTCTGGTTTCTAAAATGTTTGAGAGGAGAGAATGAAGACACAAGTTCGACAGAAAGAAGGGGGAGAGGGAGTGTCACTCTAATTGCTAAGTAAAGCTCCAAGACGTTCAAGTGAGAATTACCTCATATCCGAACGTAAGCGCCATGATGGTAATAAGAAAGCCAAAAAATGCTTCCAGTTTTCGCAAGCCTGTGGAAGAAACATGCCATTAACAAGTTTTGGAGGACAAGTCTCAGGCATAATGTTGAGGGGGCATCTGTCAGATTTAATCTGTTACATGTACTTTCATGGGACATTAAAAATAATTAAAAGGAAAAAAAAAGGAATTTACCATACTTGTCCAAGAAGAGAAACATGAAAGTGTCAGCAATGGTTATGAGCACTCCACCCCACAAAGGGACTCTGCAACAGAACAACAGGACTTCGTTTGAATAGTGCTTTTACCAGCTCTTCTAGCCATGTCAGTCCAAGCTTCTCTATATTCCGGGCAGGGATCATGGCCACTTTTTGTGTGCTGTTATTGAACACTTATCTCAAGGTTTTATTTGTAATCTGACAAGCTGCTTGGTTACTTTGGGCATGAGACTAAGCCTGTTTTCTACATAAACAGTTCAGATAAGAGTTCCACCTTAAGCCATGCCTACATTTCTCTGCACAGCAAGCCAAGAGTTTCTGGAGCGAGAGATACTTCTCATCTACTATAGTGCAATGAGCCTGTTAGTTTCTGATTAAGAGTCCATTTCTGCGCTGCCTGGTGGAAGTGGCTAACTTGCAGGGAACACCGAGCTAAAACACAGTTGGGCTCTGGACTTCTAGGCTAAGACTCTACACCAATTTCCTTCCAGCTTTAGTTCTGATTTAACAGAAGCTCCTCCGGTGTTACATATGGTAAGGTTCTGGTTTAACATGAGGTCTAAAAGCCAAAGGGAAGCTTATTACAGTTCTACAATGTGTCACATCAGCAATGGCTGGTGCCAATTGTGGGCTCAGACATGCCCATTTTATTTAAAAACCTTTCATCTCAAATACTTTTTATGTAATACACAATACAAAGAGGGAAGCTCGTACCCTGCTGAGCAGAACAGGGCAGTGATCTGCTAAGATTCTCAACTACAGGAAATAAAACGGTCCTTTTTGGCACAAAGTGTGTTGTTTTCTAATGGGATACGGGCAGCTGATAAACACTAGAGATGGAGAATGACATTCATTTCCGGTTTCTCTCAAGCGATAAAAGCCAACTTACTTCCCAGCAGACAAGAGGTTTATCGCGATTGCTGAGCCAATAACTTCTTGCATGTCCGACCCAATGATAGCGAGTTCAATCATCAGCCACAACATAATTCGAGGGACCTAGATACAAACACTGAGCTTCAGATACTTGGAATTCAAACCAGAAATAATGAATAGACTATTACAGGGGAAGTTTCTTTTCCCCAACTTCCTGCCAGACTTATGTGGATTTACAGCACCATTTAGGAAACCCATCTTCTCTTTCAGCACAGAAGTCAACGGAAGACACCCATGACTTCCGTATATACTGGATCAGGCCTTTACATTGCTAACACGAGTTTTGAAGACCTTCTGTGCTTCAACTTTTACAGTTTATTTTCTGCTCCTTGCTCAGTTTGGATCATGAAACTAGACAGATGTGTTTACTGCAGCACATGAGCGGCAAGACTGGCAGGTGTGCATTGGTGACAGGTTTAAATCAACACCCCAAAATGCCTTCCCAACAGAAATGTAATCAAGTTGTCGTGACCCTTCTTATGAGGGATTAAATGGACAACCCAACCTTATGGCCTTGATTGTCTGACTTAGTCCCTTTAAACTGGTTTGTGTAAGATTACTGGAAATACTGGTTAAGGGGAGATCCATGTTTTCCACTGGATGGCTTTACTCATTTTCAGCTGAACAGCAAGTCATAACCGTAAGCTTACACAACCATGAGCATTTCCTCAACAGCCAACGGTAATGCGCGTTCTTTCTTCATAACCCCCCGTGCTAGTTTTAAATCTCTCCAGTCATTTGAAGAGGAAACCCGATTCAGTGGTTCGAACAGGGGACTAGGGAGTCAGGACACTCCTGGTTCTATGCCTGACTCTGCCAATTTTGTGAGACGACAGGAGAATCATTCAACATCTGCGCCCCAGTCTCTCCCTTCTAGATGGGAACAATACCACCAACCTCACGGTAGGCAGGCATGCTGTGAGGTTTCATGTTTGGAAAGTACATCAGCACCCTCAAACATGTGTGCAAAGTTGTATTATAAAGCCTATATCAAAGGAAGCTAGCACGTGCCAGATCTAGAGACTTTGTTAGTGCTAAATCTGGGGTAACATTAGCACTTGTTTGCCAAGTATCAGAACGGCAGGGTTTATGTGCTTTCAACGACAGGCCATTGCAGAAGTCAATCCCGAAATCCTCAGCTACATGGGCATTGTGCAAAAGTGAACTTCACAAGTCTATTTTTTAGAAATAAAACACCACCGTTAGAGCCGGATTTAACATATGCTGATCAATAGTAACATTCACATGAACCACAAGAGGGGTGTGGACTGCCTGAGACAGCGAGTCACAAACTGACACATACCCACAAGGTCCTCAGTTTAGAAATTGGAGTAAGACCAATGTAAACTCAGCAAGGGCATTTAAACTACTGTTATCCCTTTAGAGGATGCACTGAATCCACCCTTGGGCTTCATGTCTAATCTTTCCTTTCATCCCCCAGCCACTGCCCAGCAACAATCCACCTTTCAGACTAGTCACTGGGAAGCCAAGGGTGCTTTTCCCCACACACACACACACACACACACACACAACAAACAACACACACCTCCT